CAACCTGTGCCCGTGCTCTGTCACCCTCACAGTACAAAACTGTGTTCCGATCTTCAGGTAGAATAGATATGGAGCATCTAAGGTGGGGTCTCCAGTTGGAAAGGTTCATGTGTTTGTGTTGGAGCTGTGTGTGTGCAAGTGAACGCAGTTGAACTACTCGGTCATGGTTGTAGCCAATGAGAGGAATGTTACTGCTTATAATTTTGGGGCATATTCCTCTTCATTTAATACCAAAAAAACCAATGCCTCAAATTATCCCAAAATAGCAGTGCAGGTGATTTCACACCCAGAGTAGTCACGTATTTCTTTGCTGTCAAGCCGTAATTTCACAAGTGCTTAGGAAGCATTCTTTTCGACCACTTCATAAATATTGATATTCCACTAATTCCTCTTTCAGCTGTTTGTTGAAGAACATTCAAGATCATTTGAGGACAGTGCATATTTTGAAAGTTTAATTGTTCACGTAGTACATGTTAGTCAGTTAGTGAGAGGAGGTTTTTTCATGTTTGCTAGAAGCTGAAAATAAAAATTGAAAATTTCTTAGACCTCTGTAGGTCTCTTGGTCCTTCTTTAGGATAAAAGAAGTAAATGTGTATTTTTTCTAATTTAGAATATAATTAAAAGATTATGTCCTTTTACACATTTCTCTTTTCTTGGAATAGTTTGACCTTGTACTGAAAAGTATCTTAGAAATCCATGACTTTATTTTTCTTCTAAACTTTCTTACATCTTGACTCCCTTGTTATTTGATTAGGCCGCAACTGATCTATGTATACATTTCATACAGTTTTTTGACTGTGACATAAGGTCTTCATGCTTATGAATTGGATATTTGTGAGCATTCTTATTCAGAAACAAAGTAATTTTGATCTCTGTTTTCCTTCCCTGTGGTCATTAGCAATTGTAATAGAGGCGAACCAAGATCAGCTGTGACTTTTTCTCTTTCAAGGAACAGCTGACCTCCAGAGGTCCAGCCTCAATGATTGTCCAGTTCTATGACAAATATTCATATCCTGCTAGTGCAGTCACTGAAGATCAGCATTATGAAAGCTATTTAGTGTGCTTAGCATCTCCTAATCTGCATTCAGATGATATATGAACCTAATAGAAAGACCATTAAAGCTGGTAGAAGTCACTGCCTCTAAATTTTAGACTTATAAATTCTACACAGACATATCTCAAAAGCAACCTTAAATGATGTATATGTATATGTATATTTTTCTTCTCCTATTTTTCTCTGCAGGAGATTATTCTTGTGGTGGCTTGCTTTCCTCTCCATCTGGGACACTACAGAGTCCATTTTATCCCAGAAATTATCCAAACAACGCCAACTGTGTTTGGGAAATAGAAGTAAAGAACAACTTTCGTGTCATACTCACATTTAGAGATGTTCAGTAAGTAAAAATTTATTACTTGGGAAGGTGATGTACGGGATCAACACCTTGGACTTACTAAGCTGATAGCTGCTTGATTTCAAGGATGTTTTTTGAAGCTTTTAGTACATCTGAGATAAAAAATGTCTTCATTTTTGTTTATTTAGTCAATAATGTATCTGGCATCTAATGAGACAGAAATTGGAGGCTGTAATTTTTGTTCCAAAGACTTGATAGTTATATCACTAAACTGTACTCTTTTGCTATGAACAGTTAATCTGAGTTTTAAAAAAAAAGAAGAAAAAGAAATTAAAAAAAAAAAAAAGCATTTAACTAAATATACGTGTTTGCTCTCCAGGATGGAAGGTGGCAGATGCCTGTCTGACTATGTGGAAGTCTATGATGGGCCACTCCATACCTCTCCTCTCCTTGGGAAATTTTGTTCTGGTTCTTTTCGCACATATGCATCTTCCTCAAACCTGATGACTGTCCAATTTTACAGTAACTCTCGATACACATACAGAGGGTTTCAGGCTGACTATTATTCCACTCCAGCAGATCAGAGCACTAGTAAGTTCATGTTTAAAGCAGAAACCTGCTTCTCAATTATTTGCTAATTCACTGATTGATAATCTTGTTGTACCACTTCAATGAATCACCCATTTCATGTTATTTTAAATTAAATCTGTAGCATTTCATAGAGATGCAAGTATATGCTTGGGATTCTGAACTCCTTCTGCAATATCAGCTGCCTCTGCAAAAGATATTGTTTATTTAGGTATAACCTTTTTCAGTCACTTCAATGAGCTTGTAACATATTTTCTTTGCCATCTGCTAGCGCTGTTGTGTTTGCCAGACTACATGCGTGCAGCTGTGAGCAGATACTACCTTCAGTCGCAAGGCTACTCTGTCTGGAAGCTCTCCTTGAATGACCCCTATTGCAAACCCAACATTACATCAGAGTATGTTATATTCGACATACCATACACTAGCTGCGGCACAGTGAGAGAGGTATGACTTTAAATGTTTCAACAGAATATGCAAATATTGTGAGTGTGTAAAAATTCAAACTGAAAAATTAATTTTGAAAACCAGCACAAGTTGAAAGCTATACAGAGGCCTGCAGGGACTGGAAGTGTCCTGGTGATTACAGGCTGCCTCTCCCTCTCCTGAGGGATAAGGTTTATTAACACTCATCTTTCCTGCATCTGCTGCCAGAGCATTCACTAATAGCCTGTTATGGATCTTCTAAAGAATGAAGTGTGGGAGGAAGCAAATATTTGGCATTTTCAAGGTCCCAAGCTGAGTGTGGTGGTTTAAAAGCTCTCAAAGCCTTTACTAAATATGACCACTTGTGGCTTAGGTCAGATTTGCGTTTAAATACTGTGCTGGACCAGATCCTTCAGGCATTTGATGTTCAAAGAATTGTACAATTTCTATTTAATTAGTTATGTCTGCATGTAGTGTGAGTAGATTTCTACGTCCACGTTGTAGTCACTGAATATTACATGTAGATTACAGATTCTTATCCTGAGAACAGAAATTATTAGGTTCAGACTTCTCCACAGCATACTTTCTGGGAAATAATGCATTTACAGTGCATATTGCCCTAAGGTTACAGTAAAATTTAGAATGTATAATAGGAAACCTGACTATATGAATTAATTCTGCATTTTATTTTATATGTCAAACAGGGAAACAACAACACAATAACTTATTCCAACATTATTAGAGGATCCTCTTCGGGTACTGTAATCACAAGAAATAAAAAGCTTTACTTGCATATCAACTGCAAAATGCTCCAGAACACATGGGCACAAACAATGTATGTTGCGGAGGACAATTTTGAAGTCAATGAAACTCAGTATGGCAGATATGATGTAAACCTTACATTTTATCATTCTGCATCCTTCTCACGGCCAGTGAATGACTCACCATACTACGTTGATATCAACCAGAATTTGTTCCTTGAAGCTTACCTGCACAGCTCTGATTCAAACCTGGTGTTGTTTGTGGACACATGTGTGGCATCTCCGAGCCCCCACAATTTTACAACAGTAACCTATGATATAATCAGGAATGGGTAAGCTCTTATGCATTACAATTACAAATAGAACTGCCTTTGAACTCCTGTATCTCTTCTTTTTTTTTTTTCTTTTTAATTTTTTTTTAATGGAGTAGTGTGAATACAGCATACATTAATGTCAGCTTCTAACTAATTAATGAACATAGGCACTTGAGGTTTATTGGGGGAAGGGGGATGGATTGACCCAAAATATAACACACAGCCCCCCTCAGCTTAAAATGACAAATAGACTAAATGGCTATGGCCAGTTCATCATGGATTGTCATTGTCGGAGGGGTAACAATGACATATCTCGGGTAAGGCTAATTCACCTTCAGAAAAACGTACAAACACCAGGTATCTAGACACAACAGGCTAAAGGGAGGTACCATGGCTCAATGCTGCCAAAGAAGGGCCTCTGGCTTTTCCTAATTGCAGGTTTCTGAACCTGCATCATGTTTAAAAATCACTTTTCATGTTATGTGTTATATTGTGTGTAAATGACTGATTGCAGTGTGTGTTCATGAGAGATTTTTTGTTTCTTTTTAGGTGTGTTCGAGATTCTACCTATGCTACATATTATTCACCCTACAGACACATAGTCCGGTTTAAATTCAATGCTTTCCAGTTTATTTGTAGCAATCCATCAGTTTACCTGCAGTGTGAACTAGTGGTGTGCAGGGCCTACGACTATTCTTCCAGATGCTACGAAGGTTGTATTACTAGGTCCAAGAGAGAGGCAAGCTCCAGTCAAGAAAGTGTGACTGTTGTTGCTGGCCCAATACAGCTTCAGAAAGCTAATCCTGAGAACAAGAATGCATGTGGTTTTAAATAAAACTTTGACTCCTTTAGCAGATAGCATCTTTAAATGCCAATTTAATTCTGCATGAAACTATGCAGCTCTACAATAAACGTTAGGAATGTGCTTACTGACTTTTGCCTATTAATCCCACTTCACATCAGTTGTCTTCGCCTGCACATCATAAAATTGCCAATTCAGCAGCGCTGCGAGGAGTCTGATGAGACAGGGCACAGGCAGCTCTGTGGAACTCACCTGTTCCCAAACTGCCTGCGACTTGTAGCTGCCGTGCCTGAAAAGCCAGTTTGAAAGCTTCCCAGACAAACTTGCAATCTCTAAGCTTTTTGTTTGTTGTTTGCTTTCTTAATGGTAAAACTGAAATGCTTAAGTTGCAGTTTAAGGTCTATAAACAAGCTCTACTCTAATATAAGCCTTGTTTGATGTATTTCTAGAGTACTCTGGATGTATCAGAGTGCAAGAAATGGATTGATCTTTAACCTGATCTAGAATGCCATTTTTTTTCTTTTTAATGTTTTGGAAATGACAAGATGAGGGATCAAATGTAACAGATCCTCTCATCCTTCCCAGAGCTGAACCCTTTTGTCATCCAGGAGAACATGAATTCAGCTCCTGCTCCAGCTGATGTTTCTCATCCACCATTTATTGTCAGGCCCCTGACAGTTTCTTTTTACTCTTGTTGTACTTCTTTTGAAACATAAAGTGAAGAAACCAACTCCGTATCAGATCATGTAAGCCTTAGTAAACACCTGCAGCTGTTCACATTGGTTGAGTAATTTGATGGATTGAGTAATGTTCTTGCATTGAGTAATTTCATTAACAATTCAAGATTAAAATCCAAGCATGAAATCCAAGCAAGAGGTGATGGCTCACCTCATGAGAAGAGGTGGGCTTGACATAACAACTCAGCATTGAAGGAAGCCAGAAGACCAAGGAAACTTTGCAGCCCAATAACAAAGCCTTAAATTAGTTGTCACCTGCAATGTTAGGCTCTCAAATCTTAACACAGTACCTGAATCATCAGCTTCCTCCTCTCAAGACGGAGATCTGGACTCTGCTAGTGAAAAATACAGCCTGGGTTTTGGGGAACCTGGATAGCCAGTTCCTGCTCCACACCAAACATGAGTTTGTTTCCCACTTCCTCAGATGTAAATTAAGACCAAGAGTCCTTCCTTTCCATAGAGCAGGTGTGAGTGCATCACACAACGTGTGCTGCACGACAACTGGTAACGGAGCCCATCTGCATACCTCTGAAAGGCACTTCAATAAATCTCAATGCGATGCAATGTATGTATTTCAATTTACCCTTCAGGCAAGGCACTGGTGAAACTGCCCTGTAATATTTCCTGTTTCCACCGCAATCAGCGCTAGCAGGCAAAATACTTGAATGCAAGTACTACTGTTGTACTCTGCTAAGACTTCTTTTAAGTCTTGTTTTCTATCCATTCAAATTTTCTAAGATGGAGATTAAATTTTGCATAAAAATTGCACGGCATAATGAAATGTTTCAGATGGAGAAGATTTTATGCAGCTAAAAATACCTAGACAATCACACATGACTGAAAGAGAAAAATTATTCTTCCGATTGCATATAGATCCTCCTACATAATGTCTGAATATTTTGTGACTAGTTCTTTAGGGAGGTCTTTCTTGTTGAGAAAACGAGCTATTTGAGCTATTTTCAATTACGGCTGATTTCCAATATAAATTATACAATTACAAAATCAGGAAGACAATGTTTCTAGTGTGATATTTCTGTCTTGATTCCTGAAAGTGTCTCTGCATTTGAACTCAAAGTTTTGCTGTCTTGAAGAGCATCATCTGTAATAAAGAAATTTTTCCAAGCAACATGTTGGTCATAGGTGGGGTTCTCCTGCAGGAACACAGGTACATCACATACCTGGGTTCTGGAAAAATCCAAGAAGATCTCATTTGTGGTCCAGATCTGCTGTGAGATCAGCCCTGCATAACAGCTTATGTCTATGACTTACTGCCTAAGCCAAGCACCTCTGTGAAATTCATACAAATCCTTATTATACTATTACTGTGATGGTATAATTACTGCTACAGCCTAACCTAGCACTTCACCGTCAGCCAAAAGCAATTCCGGAAAACAACTTAAAAGTCCCATGTCTAGTTTTGTTTTTTTGTTTTGTTTGTTTTGTTTTGTTTTGTTTTTTTTCTTTGCCAACAAATAAGGTCCAATGAAGTCAGTATAACTTTTTAGGCAATACCATAGCTCTGCTTCATATCAGGCAAAGGTGCCAATTTATCTGCTTGCATTTCTGCAGAAAAAAAGACAACTAGCAGCAACAAGTGAACATCATCGGGGGTAATAGTGCCTTCCTGGAGTGCTGTGTGGCACAAATATCTTGCCGATTGCAGGATGGCAAAAAGGATGCTGTTCCAAGAATGCCTGTCTGCAACCCTCCTGCTCCAGGCTGCAACATCCCTGATTCCTCCCCAGGGCATGGCACAGCTCTGCTGGGTCAGTGCCGTAGGGGTTGCAGAGGTGACCGAGCACAATTTGTCCCATCAGGTAACCGTTGCATATAACATCTGCTCATCGCTGGGCTCTGAGAAGAACAAACCACTGTATAAACTGACACAGCATCAGTCTCGACTATCCGACTGCAGCTTTCAGAAGCCAAACCCCATCAGAGCCATCAGCCAGCTGCAAGTCTTCTCCTCCTGTTTTCCCAAACAGCAATAAATATTGTGGATGGTACATGCTGGACTGAGATACTGGGAGATCCTCATCTGCCGATCCATCAGCAGGCAGCTTCTAGAAAGATCTTTGAAGAAGTTGGTGCCTTGAACAAGTGCTGTGCTTCCTTGTCCCCTGCCTGTGGCTGCCCGCATGAGCCAGGCTGTTCTCCTGCTGTGCCTCTGGTGACCACGCTGCAAGATGGGGCACAGCAGAGGCAGAGCACGACGCTGGTGGCAATGGAGCACACCTCGTTGGAGCCCTCACTGCAGAGCAGCTTTGCTTTGATGTCTCTGGGAAGTGTTTTTTCAGCCTTAGCCCTGGATTATGTGTGATCAAGGCTGGCCCTGGACTGTGGCCAAGGCAGGTGGAAATCATGGCAGCTCCACCTGAGTCAACAGACCCTTGGTACCTTTATTGCAACATTTAAAAGCTTAGGATACTGGAGAAAGCAAGACTAACCTGCTTAGGTGTAATTGGAGCTGTGAATGGGCAAACCGAGCTACTGGTAGAGCTTCTTGGTTTAGAACATGTTCAAAACTTCCCAAGGGAAAAAATCTACATCAGACTTCAGTGCCTTTTGACTTGCCACATTACCACTGTGGTAATGTAACTGCATACAGCCAGAGGAAATTTTTCTGTGGAAGGTTTCTGAAGAAGAAGGGGGCTAAAAGATAACATAGATTGAGGACTGAACTGGGTGAAAGTTTAACGATTCACAAGCACTTAATGTTTAAGACCAAAGTATGTGGAGTAGCTAAAGGGCTATAAAAAATTTCTGTTATCATGAAACTACAACCTACATAATTGCAGCAAAACCCCAAATGTCTCCATAATTTCCCCCTCTACTAAATACTGGTGAATTAATAGAAAATATATAAGCGTCCCTATAGCGATATTTACACTGTCTTATTTGCACTAAGGTCTGAAGTTTTCCCCACCATTCCTTGGTTGTGTACGGTGAGTCTCCTCCATCTATATATCAAATCTCAAATTTTAGGTCAAATGGTGTAGTCATTGAAGTGCTCTTAGTAAATACAGATAATGATTGTTAATAACTAACATCTACTCTTATATTTTCTTTTTTAAATCATTCTTTCCTTAAGTGCTCTGCTAATTCTCATTTGAAAAGGCTTGTGTCAGTATTTATTTCTCTTTCAAAGCTTTTTGTCAGTTCAGTAAAGGCCTACATTATTACTACTCTTAGCTCAGGTTCTTGGTTCAAAACTACACCAATCTTCCTACACTGTAGGGTGGCAGCTACAAAGGGCACAATGGAACAAGTCAATGGCTATTGTCTTTTTCTTCTTAAAGAGATGACTCATTCATCTTTATGATAAGACAGAGTAGATTCATTGTATTATTGTATTCATGTGAACCAGGGAATGCCAAAGCCAAAGGCAGTTGCAGCACAGTGAAATCCTCGGGAAAATAATATAGGTCATACAGGGATGAGATGTATAAGATTCTTAGATAACTTGCAAACACAATGCAGAATCTTTTGAGAGTATTTTAAATATTTTTATAGATCCACACTGTTCTTGGATCATATTTGTTGAGCTTACAATCAATCTAATAAAACTGAATGTCAGCAGAAGCCATAAGAAGATATTTCATATCACATCACTTTAAGGCATCTCCATCACCTTTCCCCCCTTTTTTTTTCCTTGTTTTCTTTAGACAAATAGACCAATACAAAATTCCTCTTATCTAACAAAGATATGTTTGTGAGGTCTGAAGTGACTGGGTTAGGCAGCTAAGCCTTGCCTAGCCTTTTCAGCAGGCTGTGAGGACTTGGGTGGTCAGTTAATATCACCAGTGCCTGCCCATGCATTATGCTATGGACAACTTCTAGGCTTTCTTCTTTATACTAACACTTAGCTGTTATTTATGTAATGGCAAGCACAGCCTGGAGACCTCATCTCTTGCTCAGACCTCCCGAGAGCATTGCTGTCTTTTCTCTTCATGCTAAAGAACAAAACCTGCTGCTTGGTGTTGGTATGGTTGTGCCCCAGTTGTGCCAGGCTGTGTAGAAAGGCATAGCACAGTCTAGTTTGGCCTTTGGGAGTTTTCCAATGTGGAGGTTGAGGTATGTTGCCCTCAATACGCTTGTTGTGAAATTTGTGAACTGAGTGCATCAGTTGAGCACTGAGCATTTCAGCAAATATCTTCAGAATGGATTTTGAGAAATGTATTGGAGGCCGGATCTTGCAGAGGTTAAGGCAAATGTTTAACTACCTCGATAATTTCCAAAGATTTTGGGAGACTATTCATAGCAAAACAGTTATGCACATAGCTTAGTTAAACATTT